AACAACGAAGATTTCGGTTTCGGCAAATAAAGAGCATTCGCCGACACGAATTTTTCTGTACCAGAACAAAAGTCACACGTTTTTGCACCACGACGTTACCGGAGATGAAAAGCGAAGTTATTTTGAAAAACCAAATATCCAAAATTATAAGCCGTACTACACTAGTATAGACTAAAAGGCTGAATGACAGGAAGACTGTACTGGCAATATAGCAATTCGTAATCAGCGTGCAGTTCTAATTCGACTTGGCCAGGTCTGCCAGTCTGTAGGGTCTCTACCGAACGCAAAAATTCCCCCTCAACTTAGATTGAAATGTTGGAAGTTGTTGCACGTAGCATGCTATGGAAAATTAGCTAATCAAAGTACAAGCCCACGGTGAAGCGTAAACTGAACGAACCTCTGCTAGAAGTTTTTGGTTATTATTCATAAATTAAGAATGATAGAAGAGTGAAAGTTTCGCTCACAAAAGAGAGAGTACGTATACTCAGTCGTAACTAGAGAATGTCTTATGCAGTAATTGAAGTGTTTCAAGGAATGCATACGTCGTACCATCTTGTTGGGATCTCATGTCGATCACATCAATATCATCCGATTCATGCAGAAAGAATTCGATTATCAGAGAGCGATATCGAGCATTAGCAACAGTCAATGCTTCACCAGCCTCATTTTTGAAAGGTATGGCCAAGCTTTCATTACTTTCGGAATATTGTTCAACAATGAAAACGTGTTGCTCTTTCTTGTAAAGTTCCAGTGTTACTAATCCTTTTTCTTTTGTGAAGTGCCAAATGGCCGCAAATTTATTCGTACGTAAATTTTGGTACACTGTCTATATGTAAATAGCAACTGGAAGGGAGAATTTGATTATTATACGTAAAATCGGTTAATAATTTACTTAAAACTTATAAAACTCCTGCTACTATACACTAATTTACTAATAAGTTGCAGTACTGGTGGGATAATCAAGTACGAAAAATTTTGCTTTGACTGCTGCATTCAGAAGCGAAAGCTAACCTGCAGCTGCGTGTTTACCTCCAAATTTTATACTACTATAACGTGATAGACGAATGGTGGTGGATAGGCAAGATTCGACCATAGCCGGAATAATTTTCCTACTTGCTACACACCAGTTTGGGATTTTCGCAACTAACAAGCGACAAAGTGCTCCTGGAGAGTTATTGTGTAAATATTTGCTTTGGAATACCAAATTTCACACAAAATGACAGAAATGATGGAAAGCAATTTTGTGACCGTTGAACGATAATAACGACGGAATAAAGCTATTAGACTTATGTTCGCTTATTATTATTTGTTACATTATTATTACGTCCCATGGTAATACATTTGCTTGTAGATGTTAGCTCTTCGAGTTCTTTTTTTAGAGCATCTGCTGTAATGTCTGTAGAAGGGGGCGACATTGTTAATTGTGTTATCAGTATTATTATAAATTGTTTATCGTAAAGAAATAAATTCCGTATAGAAACTATGAACTATATGTATTAATAGGATAATAAGATTAAAGCGCTCGCTTCGAACGTAAAATAATTAAGACAATATTGGCTATTGCAATTATTCTTCTTTTGTTCGCATTTCCACGTGAGTGATAAGACGGTTATGCCGCTTTCCAGCATCTACTTTAGAGTCAATTTTATCATATCTCTTTGCCCACTTCATGGTCCGAATTAAAGATTCAAATTAAACTCAGTGTTAAGCTATGTAAACAATCCAAATGCGGTAGAAACTTGCCGATTTTGAGGCAAAATAACCACCGACCCATTTTCGCACATCCTCAGCTTTTGCGAACTATGGGTTTGAAGAATACACGAGGCGCGGCAAAATTTCTGACCTTAAGTTGAAAATTATTTCCGTGTTTAGTTTCGCGGAAGACGGACGAAAGTATGTAAATTTCATGGTTTTCACCCCTAAGAATTTTTGCCCGAATTCTCGTAAATCGATTTCTGACTGCTTGGATTACTGTATATTCATTCTAAGCTCTATTTCATTCCAGTTTAAACGCAGAAAACCGCAGTGCACTGAAAGGCACCCATCTCTTTAAACTTTGATATACACTGAACGACAGCTTGTCAACAATTGGGACATACATCATTCAAACATCAATATCTAAATTATCTATATTTGAAATTTCGGAAAAGTTAAACGCGTCAGGTGTGTTCTACGGAACGAATTCGTTCACATACCTAATATTTGCACTTTATTGCATTTCAGACCGTCTCAATGTTCAACTGAAAATTTATAGAAGCGCAAAACTAATTACTTTGAAGAGCAAAAAGCAAGAAAACTTAGGTAGAAATTGAGTGCATGTGCGAAAATACACATAATCTGCCTGCTGCGCCGAAATTCCTTTGCACAAAAGAGTGATAACCGTCGACATCTTCCTCTCCTGTACCTTCTCGTATTTTTGTTGTTTACTATCGGATTCCAATTCCTGCCAAGGCAACATGCCCCGGATAAAATACATCATAACATAGTCTAAAGATTCCCTATCATCCTTTCGTGATAGTTCAATACCAAGATGAGCATTAAAAGAGGCGTAACAAGCTGTATCTGTTAAGTTTTTGCCTGCACGATATCTGCTTTGGGGATTACAATACCTTTTGGCTAAACCAAAATCTATTAAAAATAATTGATGAGAATGACGGTTTAACATCACGATGTGTACACCATTGAGAGTGAATAAACTGCAAGCGTCCAATCATTTGCTCGACCAGCGTTAAGTTAGTTTTAACAGCAATGCGACAATTGCAGACATCAAGCAAATGTGTTAATGATGGCCCCAACAAATCCATAACAAGAATATCAAGGTTTTCTCTTCGCCATAATGACCCGTGCGTAGAATGCCCACATCACCACTTAGGATTCGATATTATCTCGCCCTATATTCAATCGTGGATGATGTGCGGAATTGCTTTCTTGATTTTAGCTCCGACTTCGTCATTATTTTGCATATGTATGCCGAAATAGACGTCTCCGCCCGAAATGCTTCCGATTTTCTAGCATAGTTGGTACTTATCATCAACTATAAGATCAAAACGACGCTTCACACAATGAAATTTATTCATATTGCTAATGGAAACATTATGTCCATAGAAATTGTATCAGTGAAAAAATTTGCAAATCGTTTGTTCATCTCATAAGTTTGGCAGTTATGTCGATATAGTTTTGTTTTTACGACCAAAGAAAATCTTCTTGAACTTTTATTTCTTAACAATTTTTATTACATGCGAATTCAGGCAGTGCCACCAACTGCACTATTCAATCGAGCTCTTTCAATTGGTTGGACAGTAAGTTTAAATTAGCTTTTTCGTGATTCTATCTAACCATGAAAGTAAAATGTTTATTAGATCCGCTATTTCGGTTAAAAGTAATGAATAAAAATACCCATCAGCTGTAATGTATACACGCACAATTACGCCGTTTTCTTATAGTCCAGCGTATATAAAATTTGAGTGGACGTTTGCAACATCCAGAAGAGACTTTTATTCTGCTCACCGATTCAGAATTATTTTCTAAATTATAACCACGTCGCTCCGTCTATCCATATGATGTTTGTCAACGTATTCTTCCGTTCAACCTAAACGCCGTATATTTTCAAGATATTTCGGCGAAATTTAGTACACTGAAGTGTTTTGGTCCAAGGACGAACGCTATTGAAAATGGTTCGGATCGAAAAACTTTCTCGAATACTTTCCTTTAAATGCATTATTTTGTAAAGTCCTCGTATTAAGCAAAGCGATATAGAATGGTGAATAGTGGTCCGATGTTTTAGTATACCCTCCACCACTTTTGGTACAAGGTATATTCTGTTAGTGCTACTCACATGATAAATCATTTCTGCCATCACTTTTCATGCCATGACTTGTGGAGAACTCTTGTTGTGTAATAACAATTGCAATTGCTAAAATTCTTGATTTCGCTGGGTCGAATAATCACTGAATGACGGCACTGCGGGGTATTGCGCTTCTGTGCACATTTTGCATTGGGTAAATCTGAATTGCTTCCAATTGAAACTATCTACGTAAAGTAAGCCTTTATAGTACAAGTTCTACCTGATAAAATTTATTTCATTATAGTATGTGAGGAGTCAAAGTCGTCCCTCGTTTCGATCTCACATGTCCTTTGTCTCGAATGGGGAAATGTTAGGTTAAGTGAGTGGTAAGCTACATGTGGAAAACGGCTGCTTTTCGATTGGCATAAGGTATGTTGGCAACAGACAACTTTGTAGGAAGTACGAATCAAGCGACTTTCACTGTCACTCGAGTCAAAGGATCGACAGCTTCGTTGTTCTTGTTCTCTTCTATATCGGCCAGACAACAGATCACAACATCTACATTTGAGTACGGGTGTCAATTTCTAGTTAGGTGAGTGCAAATAATTCTCGAGGTTTACTTTATAATAGGAAATAGTTAAACAACCAGTAAATCTTTTCTCATCAAATTGAATAATGAGGAACTTTGTCGCCGAAATAGTAAAAAAAGGAACGATACGACCAACAGGAGTTTTCAAAAGTAACTCGACATACTTGTACCAGATTTGGGCTACGTATGGCAAATTGTAAGGCTTCTTGTGTGTGTTTCAGTGACGAAGAAAGGTCTATTTTTTATTACTATATGAAAAAAACAGAAGAGAAAAAAAGAAGATTTTTGAGAACAAAGTTAATTTTGCTAAATTTGGGTAATGGTCTTTCATATACGGACTCTATAAGAAAGAAATTAAGTGATTAAAGGTGTTCGATAAGCGGCCTTGCCCTACTTTTTACAGGATTTGCTTCAATAGCTATCTTTTCAAAACATTATTTTTGATATTATCACCTGCGATGAAAGAACTGTGGGCGGCTTAAATCTGAAGCGAAAACAATCAAGAAAAGTATGTTGGAAATCCGACTTTATTTGAATTATTTATCTAAACAAAAATAAATTCGTATACAAATGCCTAAAATTATTACATCGAGTTATAAAAAGTGCTGGAAGATACTCGCAACAGTTTCAGATTAAGTTTGAATTACAAAGCTCGACAATCTCAATGGCCACTATAGAGATCTCCTTATTCGCGCTTCTTTGCATTTCCTCGAGTTTTTTGAATCCATCACAATATCTAACAACATATCTCATATCGATGGCATATTTTTCCAACAAGACGAGCACATCATAAATAATTTGCAAGACCCATAACTCTTCGGTGGCTAGATGATCACAGAGGAGAATCAAAACATGAGCAATTCTTTTCGTTGAACATGGTACAAAAGGAAGAGCTGCTGAAAGGAGTTCAAAAATGGTGTCAGCGGCTACCCTTTTCACGTGAGCTTCGCTCCGGCATAAACCATCAATTAAAGCAGGGAGAAAATCAGCATTTATTACTTCCAATTTTTGCGATCGATTACCCTCTTGAATAATGTAACAGAGAAGAATGAAGGTGCGGATAAGCACATCTGGATCGCTTCGCGGTTGAAACAACACAACCCGGATATTAGGTAATATGTTATTTTTAAGAAGCAAACCAATACGGTAAGATGAACCGAGCGATAATTGCTGTAACACCTCAAGAGCTGCTCTCTGTATTTCAGCTCTAGGATTGCACATCAGGGTCGCCAACGGTAGCGTGGCCCCGTATGCAGCGACCAAATCGCTTTCGCGAGGACTATTTTTGATAATAGTGGCCAAAGCCCAAGCTGCCATTTCGCATGTTTTTAAATCATCACAATATAATATACGCACAAGGCATGGTAAGGCGCCAGACTGAGCGACCAATACTCTATGCTGCTCTGATAAGGCTGAGATTGCAAAAAGGGCACTTGAAAGTTGCAGTCGTAACTGCGAACACTTAGTGTCTCTTAAGCACCGCACCATCTTCGATAACGTCAGGCTCTCGCTTAACTCATCAATGCTAGGGTGACACGAGCTGCAAAAGGAGCAAGCGGCACTGTCGTGTTGTTGCTTCTCGGTTTGAGAAAATACTTTTGCTATTTGTTGCAAGTAATTCACTCTGAGGGTTTTTTTTCTTTGAGTACTATTTTTTATCCCCATTTTCTTCTTCTGAGGCTGTGTTTCAAAATATTTCAAATTACAAACGTTGTGGAAAAGCGCGAGTTAAACACTTTCAGTTTTTCTGAGTGAATGTGTCATTCTGAAGTAAAGTGATTCGATTATATACCAATTGTTAGCTATCAACAGGTAAGCAATTTCAATTAAGGATAATATCGGGCAATTTTATATTAATCCTTGCCATAAGGTAAGCTTTACCTGTTTACTGCTTTTGGTCACATCTAATAGAACAATGTTGGTTATACAGTTGTAAGTTGATTTAAAACCTTATAATAAACCGATTTATGTTCTAAAAATTGTTTGAATTTAGCAGAAAACGATTCAACCTTAGAATCCTTCGAACAGGCAAACAGATTGCATTCATCTTCTTCTTCGTTTTCGAAATTATTTTGTACACCATGTCCACATCGAAATTGCTAAAAATAATGTGTGTTCGACATGTCAGTCACTTTGCTCCTCGCTATCATAATTGAGAAACATCTGGAAACATTATAGTCGGCCTGGGCCGACCCCTGGCTGCACCTATTCTACACCACATTGTCCTACACGTTTGTTATTTTGCCGTAGAACACAAAAATTATTCCCCGTTTTTATATGAACTTACTTACTTACGCAATTGTGTGTCGAAAATTAGACCTCTTTGGAAATAAGGGCTTCCTCTCCGTAAGAACGGCTGCGCCCAAGAGGTTCAAAAATTGTGGCACGTGTTTAAAACTCAGCACAACTTATTATTATGGGCATAATAATAACTTACCATAAGTGGTAAAGTCTGGTCGACACCCTTGCCTATGGTTACTTTAGTTAGGCTACTAAAACAACACAGAAGCATGGAACAGAGAAGTAATGAATGAATGAACGCAGAAACGTCGTCAATGTAAACAGACATGACTGGAAATTTTAATAAAAAAATGCAACGAAATTTTTCTATAAATATATATTTATTACAGAAGAATATACTTTTAAAAACACACTCAACACACACCCAAGAGAACTTATGCTTTTCCTTTAGAGTAATGTCTTTATTACCTGTGAGGCCTTAACCCATTTCAGGTATTTCCAATATGTTTGGAAAAACCGTCGTATTTCTATAAAGTAGCGGTTGTCGTGACGCATAAACAACGAAGGTAACAAACAAATTAACAAACAAAATATATTTCGTTTTTAGCTAATGCCCTTGTTTCTAGGGGGTTACTATAATTCCATATGTCCTTGTTGCTATGAGGTTGTATATATAATTCCAAATACTTTCGACTTATTTGAAAAAACCATATAATGTTTATAAGGTAGAATCTGTTCTGACGTTCGCAAAATTTGTTTTATATATATAAATATATAAATTTGTTTGATAAACAAACGATAAAGCAGCAAAACGAAATATCTTGCTTTTATATTCATCACCGAGGAAGATGGTGTATACGCATTTGCAACACCCAGAAGGACGCTCCAGAGACCTTACGAAGCATATATATTCTTGATCAGTATAAAATGCTGAATCGATTATCTGCTTTGAGCAGATTCTGCCCGCCGCAAAAATAAGGCTATCGACTTCAAATTTGGCAGGGACGTCGGAAGTTCTTGCGCACAGGTTGATATTGAAAACGGGTCAAATCGGTCGAAGGACACGCCTACAGTAGTTCATAAAGAGAGCATCTCTGTCTTTCAAAAGCAATAAAAATTTAATTTTTCCTCGTTACGCATAGACTGCAGCAGATGCATTTACAAAAATTGGAAAGTATATTCTGTAGTCGATGCTGCAGTGCCTGCACAAAAAATGGAAAAAAGCGGCTAAGTCTATTTAATTTTATGTGCCATAAATTCATTTAGTTTTTAAAATACAAAGAAATAAGTTTCGAGAAACCGGTAAACTATTACAAATTCTTGACCAATTTACAATTCGAAATGCACCCAAGCATGTTTGTCGATTCATATGATCGCCTGGCTGTAAGCGCAATCGTGTAGTATCTGTGTTAAACATTTTTCCGTTCACAAAAATGAAGATATCGCTTACTAACTTGAATTTGAAAATAAGCTAAACTTTTCGAACAACACGCCTACAGCACGTTTATGTAACAATAGCTATGAACACTTTTGTTTTCCGTGATTATGTATTCATCAATCAAAACACGTACACCATATCAATTTCCAGTTTTATTCTAAAAACAGAAGAAATCAACCATGCCCATCTAACATTATGGAGCACGAAAATTGAACTCTTGTCCTTTTTTTTAGGATAGCCGTTATAAGTGTAGAAGATTTGGTCGCGACTTCTTAACTAATGCGCTCCTATAACCGGGAGGTTATGTAATGCGATGAGTTTGAAAAAACCGTGCATTTTTGTGAAATGGTATCCTGTACTAATACTTAATCCAAAATACATACATGCGTACATACATCTTGTGTATTGTCAGTTTTAGTCCGGATTATGCGAGGGGTTGATTGCTTCAGGGGCACCGCTACTTGCCGTGTGTTTATATTTATTTGAAACCGAGGACTGAGATGGCAAATCGGAGCTTCTCTGTTACCTTGTCTTTGTTTAAGTTATGAGATGTTTAACTTCATGAAATTTTAGCCATCAATTTCCTTTTGTAATCAATATACTTCCTGTTTAATTATTTCACATTCAATGTACAACAGCAAACAAAACACTTTACTGTCCATTATACCCTATACCACTTGTGGTACAGAGTATATTAAGTTAGTCTGGCCGTATTTTGCACACCGAAGGGCTAAGAAGCGCCGCCTTTTATTATATCGCTCGATTCAGAATCATTTGCTAAATCGATCTAAATCTGTCCGTCCTTCTGAAGTCTGCCCACTTATAATTTGTTAAAATTGCAGGTCATAATTTTTAAGATATTTTCAAGAACTTTGCTACCCAAACCTACTTTGGCCCAAGAACAAACGCTATTGAAAATGGTTCGGATCGGTCAATTTTTTCGACCATATAAAGCCCTCGTCGTTGTATCAAAAAAATTGCAATTTTCAAAATTTCTCAACAAAAGTGACTTTGGACAGGCTGAGGCAATTTTTTGAACCTCTTCCCATATCACCATTCCTGCGGACACTAAAGCTTTATACGGTAAAAAGTTAGAATTTCCAATATTTCAATTCGGACAACGTAGGTCTATTTTTTGGATGTCACCACATCTAAGGATTTTCATAAAGCTTAAGCCTTTATATACTAAAAAGGCCTACTTGTTAATTTTTTTAATGACAATTTGCTCATGATTGTTATTAAATAAAAAAATTAAGTGGACCTAACTTGAACCACATCTATTTATTCCCACACTCCTTTTGAGATATCCTACGATAGAAGCGTTTCAACAAAAAATGGAAAAAAAGCAGATCTCCAAAAGGATTGATGAAAGCAACGTACCACAGTTATCTTTTAGTACAATATTTAAGCATGAACTATCCCTCCTTCCCCACAACAACGTGGAAAGGAGTGAGTGTTTCATACACCTAATTGCGCGAACTAAATCGCCTTCACCTAGGTTCCTGTTACAGGCGATTTATAGGTTCGGGCTAGAGACAAACACTGTATACGGTATCGCTTCAAGTTGCTTTTGCAGAATCTGACCAATGTAATGGTTTCATGCAAATGCGGCGGCTTTTATATCATCAGTGACAAGATTGCGCACAGCAAAAGAATATGAAATAGGGGAAGCCTCTATCGCAGCTTATGCAGTATTCTGGTGTATCGCGTTTAATTGCTCGTTGAGATTATATAATACTACTTTTGCACCTTGTGTTATTTTCGTTTACATCTTCTTGCAACTTTGCTGATTTATTATCTTACTTATTTGCGCACACATGAAACTCAATTAAAATAAAGTACCAGTCAAATTCAATTGAAGACATAAATCTTACACTAATTATAATTAAAAACGAGTAAGAAAGTTATATTCAGCAGGAACTGAATCTTGCATAGTCCTCACTATGCTTTTCGTATTCTACTCTTCAAGTTCTTTTACTTCATACCCATACCGTTGGTATTATTAAGAAAGTATTAATCGCACTGTCTTCCATGGCAGGCTCTTCTCCCAGGGCGAGGTTGCTCGCTTGGAACGCACGTAGGACAGTTTAATACATTATAGAGCGATGACAGTAAGGTTTCAATATTCCCAGCAGGAAAATGTTGGTTTTGGTAAAATTATACGGTTTATTTGATGAAGTTGGGCTCGACGCTTTAGAATGGTTGAACGGACCATCACGCTTGGAGTGAATGGAAATGTAAATTGCTGGATGATACGGATCCCCAAATAAACTAAAACGTGGACACCGGTTCACCGCTATCTTCGGGAAACTGATAAGGCAAAGATCAAACAGTCTGCCATTACAATTAGGAGTATGAAGTGAATTAAGATCAAAAAATTGATTGAAAAATCAATTAATTCATAACAAAATCAAATAAAGCCACTATGCTGCGTAGAACTTTTGAGATTTTTGCGCAAAGAATAGAAGCAATAAATAGGCGCAAGGCAAATGTTCGACGAATGGTGCAACGTGCATGCATCAAAACTTCAAAATATTTTTTGCTTTTCAAGCCTTTAAGAATGCGTCATCTGACATTGTAGATGGTTTTTTTATTCATCAATTCTGAACCCCTTGCATAAATAGCGCACTATAAACAAAGTACTTCTGTGTTAGAATTAGTCGCTTAGCCAATTTGGATCAGCTTATGGCGTCAAAATCGCTTCCAGTCTCATCTAAGATTAACCCAACATACCCAATTCAAAATTGCCATCATTGTATATGAAACACTGTCCATCGTTGGTTATCAATCTCGTCAAAAATAGCTCGCATTCGTTTCCCTTCAGCAACAACATTTCACGGATGGACATTGGTCCCGTTAAACTTCCAAGCAGTACCCAAATATTAAGTTTCTTTTACATCCTGGCCTAGGCCGTTCCAACATTTTTTTACATTTCTCAAGTTATCAAAAATTTCATTGTTTTTAATATCGGAATTTCTGTTCCAATAAGAAAATCACTTGTTTGCTTCTAATTTTGATAAAACATCTTCACCCTGGAGGCTACGAATTTTTTCGTAAGGCTGTGAAGCGTTTGTAACCGTGGTTTTGATTTGTAATATTAGTTACAAATACAACCCTGCAGAATGTTGGGTCTGATGTGGTGACAAACTTTTGTCAGACTCAGAGGTGATCGAATCGTTTAATAAAATTACAAACTCTGACGAAAACAGCTTTAGCTATTAATGTAATATAAAAAGTGTTCTATTTTCTTGTTTAAGGAGAGTTTTACGTTTTTTTCTAAGAGTTTGAAAAAGAAAATATTGCAAAAGAAAATATTATCGAGAATCTTCTCGAATAAGAGGTTTGAAAGACACAGCAGAATTGCTGCGAAATTAGCAAAACCGTGCTAATGTTTGTTGAGTATATAAACATAGATAAATGCGCCCTGAAAACTGAAAAAACAAATTTTTTTATAGTTTTAAATAAATTTAACTAAAAACAAGCAGGAACATTATAGTCGGACAAGGCCGACCATAAAATACTCTACACCACATTGTCTAACACAAATCTTATTTTTATTATAGAGCACAAAACTTATATCTTGTTTTTATATAGATATTTTTCATGTACGTATTTGCGGGTAGGCGAGCCCAAAACGCAAACTTATGCAGTACAAGTTTAATCCTTACATAGTGCAGGAGTAGATGGTCCTAATTTTGCAAAGTTCATTTTTGTATGAAATTACTATTATGGGTCAATTTTCATCATTACATATTTAAACTTAACTCTTTTGTGCTCAAATTTTTTGACAACCTTTATTAGGGTAGGACCCAAATACTAGGCCAAAGTGATCCAAATTTGGTACAGTTAACTTTTTTATGTTAAATTACTGTTATGATATAAACTTCATCGTGAAGCATTGAAAATTAACTGGAGTGAAGTTAGCCCCCCAGGATAACCCACATTTGTATGGTTCGTGTGTTCGCTAAAAATGTCTTTGATGAGTTACAATTTATTGCGAAATGAATAACAATAAGGTATTAAAATTAAATAATCTTAGCGACCGTGCACATATAAAACATAAGTCGCTAGTTACGAAAGCAAAACCAAAAATGCTTAGTTATTGCTAGTAAATCTCATGCAAAAGTACGTTACAAATACTGAAAGAATGCAATGTTAAAATCGTGTTATAACCATTTTTAGACTACAGATTTTTGATATGTCTTAAAGGACGCTAAAACCTATCAGGAAAACCTAACTTCATTACCCGGTATAGGAGACATCACCTCGAAATTCGCCAAAAACCGGTTCTCTCCATATACCCAAAACACTAAATTAGTGATAAATGTTTAGATGTAAAAATTTGTCTAGTTTCAAAACGAAAACTGTTAACTTTGCCGTACTTTAATGATTTTTTCTGTAATAGTGTAATGTAAGCCCTCTAGCCTGAAGTGTGTCGCTTAATATGGCTGTATCTGTAAGTCAAATCGGTATTGCAAAATACAGACAAGATTTCCAGACTTTTCGCCCATTTCCCTTCGACTGAAGGGATAAACGTCTTTTTAGAATTATCTTTGTAATGTCTCCTTCCGCACATATTATGATACGGCTCGAGTAGTAAAGTTACATGACTCTAAAGTCGTCTTTTGTGGAAGACAACACAAATTTTTTCCATGATTTATGATGCGTGATGAGTTTTCCATGAACTTGATACAATTTACTAAATTTCAAAGAACATAATGCATACTTTTATGGTCCACATTATTTCTATTATATTCGAGTTCGTGGTTCGTCAGCACGAACAAGGCCAGATCGAACAAGGGCTCGAAAACTTTCATCGCCATGGCGTAAAGACAAGCCACCAAATAAACCAAAACAAAAGCGCAAATATTCTAAACAATAAGCACTGCTCTCCAACAGAAGTATAAATGCAACAATTACCAGAGACTACGAAATTCTGAAGCATATATGACATAAGAAAGAGAATTTATAAAATATAAATTATAAAATATATTTTATAAATTTATCTTTATCAAATATTTGCATTTTAAGTAAAATGTTCAAACAATTTATATTTTCGTCAAAATTTTTTTTTGTTTTTAAATTTTGTGTAGTGATACGGTAAATGAAGGAAAAATATAATATATCTTCGGTTCATGCCAATTATCGCGGACTTTTACTCGAAATTATTTAAAAATTGAAATCAACAGCTGTGAGAGGTTAAAAAGCTCTGAAAGTGGTTCATTGAAATGACGACTTAGTTGAATTGGATATGCTTTTGTTACGTCTGCATGTGTAACAAGCTTTTGGCTGCACGTGCTGTTAGAAATCGTATGTAATTTGTGTACTAAACGTCTCGGGCATTCTTGTAACAGGCTTTTCGAAAAGACATCAACTTGTAACGTTCGTTTCGAAGAGCTTGCTCTAATTCTAAAACTTTTACATGAATTTCCATTTCTCTTGTTTTTATTTGAGAAGGCGTCAAATGTAGTAGCTCTAGCTCATTCAAGTTCTCTTGCTGAATGTTTGCGTCTTTAACTACTGCTACTACGGATTCTGTTGCCTGAGTTACGTTACGTGATGCTTTAGTCAATTCGGCTAACGTTTGACTGAATTTGTCAGCCTTTACGTTGCTTGCTATCACGAGTTGAGCAGTACTGGCAGCAATCTCTTGAGCTGCTACAATTATTTCGAAATTGTTGCATGATTCTCTATTCAAAAGTCTGTTTGCGGCCTCCACTAAATAATTTGCTCCTTTTCCGACATCTTTCGAAGCAGATATCAAACCTTCTGCCCATTGGCTGTTGCGCTTATAGAACTCCTTTACTGGAAAATGGGCTTTTCCTTGCGCAACGATTTCTTCTTGAAGCAGGCGGGACTTCTTAATTAAAATTTTAATTGCTTTCATTAGAAATGTACATGAATCAAGGATTATGTTATGTTTCTCCAATTTGATGCTGTCGCTTGCTGCTTTAGAGTCGGAACAAATCTCCATTATCTTGTTAGTCGCCTTTTCGATTACTTCATCCGTAACCTTTAATTCCAGTTGAAGCGTCTGATCCATGTGATGGACTTCGGACGATGAAAACATTAATTCATGTTTGACTTTTGATGTGACGCTTGGCACTGAAGGAATTACATCTCGTAGAGTCCTTGCGTGTCTTCTGTTTGACAAAAACTGATGCGCAGGCTCCTGTAAAATATTTGCTGTCATTAAACTTATCATCATTTCTCTTGCAATAGTTGCTTCTGCTGTATTATTATAAGCAAAATATGTAAAACATCCGTTAAGTAATGTTGCGTTCTGTATAAGAGGTAAGCATTTTGAAATTATTAAATTTATTTCGCTTGGGCTTTTATAGGTTTGGAAATATTCGGCGTTTATTTGTTGTAACATATCTTGAATTGTTCCAATATTTTGCCAAGTTTTATCTGTATTTCCAGTCCAAATTTTGAATGATTCTTTCATAGCAGAAAATAACGTCTCCACTAGGAAATTTCTAGGTCTTAGTTGCTTGATCTCCTTATCAGCATGAAGCAATTTACAGCTTGGAGATGGCACCTTTTCGCTTAGGTTTCGTAAGTTTGTACTTAACTCAGAGTTCTTAGCAGAGGCAGTTTTAACTGGCAAGTTCTTATCTGTCAGAGTGTCATCACATTTTGCATTTTCTCCTGGAATGCTTAAATAGTCTAACAGTTTTAAATTAACCTTAGTCTCGTTAAGCCTTCTAGATATTTCATTTTCCTTTAGAAGTTTTTGATACTTGACCAGTTGTGCATCATGCCCTACCTTTAGTTTTTTAAATGTCTCTTGAATTTGTGTAATTTCGGACTTGAGTTCAATTATTTCCAAGTTTTTAATTGCAAGTTCTTGTTCATGCTCGTTTATTTTTATATTTAACTGTTCTTCCGTTTCTTTAATTCTGAATTTGAGCCTTGCAATATTCTTCTTTAGTGTGCCTTCTGCTCTTAGCAGATTTATGTGCTCCTCCCTTAAATTTGCATACAATAATTTGATTTTTTCAAATTTTTCTTCAATAGACTTCGCTTTTTCCTCCCATTCTCTGGCTTCGATCTGCAGTTTTGCGGCATCCTTTATATGCAACTCTAAATTTTCGATCTTGTTTATCGCTGCAATAAACTTAGCCGTGGTGGCAGCTAACTCAGTTTCAAGTGATTGATTTTTGAAACTCAAATCTGATATTTGATAAACCAATTTAACTTCATTTTTCAATTGCTCATCCTTTTCCAGTAATTCGTCTTGCAATCTCTTTACAGTTGTGTCCTTTTCGCATAAGTTGCAGTTCTCAACGGGTCTTAGATTATTTGCAAAATTTTCGAAAGATTCTTCTTGATCTAGTTTTACATGGCCTGCGGATGCTACATAAATACTAAGGTCGATTTGGTGTAAGAAATTTGGCGCAATTTCTGGCAACGATGGTATCTGAATTACATTCGCAAAATATTGAAGCGGTTTGACGTCATTATAAAATTGCTTAATTTTTGAAAAAAGATCATTGAAACGTTCTCGATGGCCGATAAGTACATCCCTTAGCAAACTGTTATGCAATTTGAACATCAAACGCACCGATATGCCGTACAATGGGTCGGATTCTTGGATTAGGCTTATTAATGGAGCCAGACGGCATTGTCCCTGTCGTGTCATTGATGACATACGAAACATATTCACCGAAGCGAAAATTTTAGTTTGAACGTCGATTATGTGATCCAAATAATCAAAAATTTCCACACAAAGCTGGAAATAAATGTTGTCGTCATTTTCTGCAAATTTTTCAATTTCACTGAATTCAAGAAGCAAGGAACCTGGAAAAATGACATTTCTTTCATGAAATTGTAACTTATTTACAAGAAGTTTTGTATAGGATTCAATGCAAGCTCCGACGCCATCTTGTAAGTGACCCCAAAGTTTTCCAATGTCAAGAATTAAAGTTTTATGGACTAATGATTGTTTCAGACTTATTGGATGACCTTCTCTCGTTACTTTGTGCAGCATATGGCAGAACTTCCAAGCTGTGAATCGATGCGCCATTAAAGGTTGTCGTGTAATTATTGGCCAAAATGACTTGAGTTCTTTTGTCCGATATGTAGCGATGATAATACTTCGCGCATGTTTCATTTTAAGTGGAGCTTCGGATGGATTTAAAGCTTTCATAATGCTGATAGCAAGATTATTATCCTCCTTATCCATCGAGAGCTGTTTTTAGAGCTGCAACGATAAATCGACTAAATAATATTTAAGACTTAAATTTATTTATTAAACACCCACTATATACACTCTTATGTTATTTTAAAAATTGCTATAAGTAAAAGTAGCGGCAGCGGTATTACTATTTCAAATGAACCTTTCGAATATCTAGCATGAACTAGAACTTTTGCAAGTAAAAACAAAGAATTTATTGATGGAAATTTGTCGATTATTTATTTTGAAATTATTTCATTTACATTTTTTTTTCCTTTTTTTATGTCACATGTTTTCGTGTTGGAGTGAACTCTATTTGAAATTAAGTTCTTTTTGTACAGGCAACCATTTTGACTTTTCATTTTGTTTATTCATTTATTAAGTGATTATAAAGCCATAGGCCGGTTAGCTACTTTCTTAGATACATAGATACAAGTCAGCTAATGTAGTCATTTTGCTCCCTAAACTCCGCAATCGTCAATTCCAACCAAACGCGATTAATTTTCTGTAGAATTCCAAGGATCATCGAGGAATTCCAGACTGAGCGGTAAGGCATTCTAATGTCTAGCAACACCAACAGGAAGAGAGCTTTCGGCTGAAAAATTACAAAAATTTGGTATTCATATAAAAGGGCTTCTATTCGATCCAGAGAACTGCAGTCGTGCAATTGAAAGGTTTGGGGGTTGTGCTTCAACGCCTTCAACAGAAATCAGAGTTTTAGACAATAAGGAAACAAGAAACTTAAGAAGGTATGAATGAAGAAGAAAATATCTTCCCTAAGTTTGACACTATAAACAAATGTGTGTGTTAACAAGACTTTGAAGAGTATCTAAGTTACATTTTAGGATCTCAGAAAAGTTTGAAATACAATAATTAAGATATAAAGTTAGATTGTACGGTTATGGGAGCGTAAGGTGAGTTGGCGATCGAGCATTACCCCAAGACGTTGCATTAAATCTACAAGATCAATGCAATGTCCACTAATTTTTATATTGGGATTGAATGAGATGGCACGGGGAGAATTGAAGAATAAGGCTTTAGTCACACTCGAGGTAATGCAAAGCATATTAATAGGTTGGAGGGAATGTTCTGTCGTATTTTAAATAGGTAGGTAATTTTTCTTGTAAACAAAAGAACATGTGGCTAGTGTGTCATTTTTTTTGTTTTGTATAATAATAGTTTGGGGAAAAAGAAAACCATTATTTTTTCGGTAGATGGCTGCACTGGTAGATTTCTCGTAAAGTATCGATCAAACAATTCCAGATTTATGCTCGTTGGAAAGGTGACATTTCGCAATAGAAAAAATTCTTTTGCTGTTTTTTGTTTGGTGCATTCAGTTGTGAGTTACAGCGTCTTAAAAATGGAAGTGAACAAAGAGAAAATTCGGTACATTTTACAGTTTTTCTTTGACAAAGGCGAAAATGCAAGCCAGGCGGCTAAAATTGTGAATGGTGTTTATGGTTCCGATACTGTAACAGCCAATTATGTGCAATTTTTGTTTCGTAGATTCCGTTCAGGAATTTTTGATGTTAAAGATGCACCTCGCACAGGTAGGCCGGTCGTCGAAAATGTCGATAAAATCGGAGATATGATCGAAGTTGACCGGCATGTTAGCAGTCGTAACATAGCCCAGGAGCTAAAAATCGACCATAAAACAGTTTTAAACCATTTACACAAAGCTGGATTCAAAAAGAAGCTCGATGTTTGGGTGCCACACCAATTAACAGAAAAAAACATGACGGATCGAATTTCTATCTGCGAAGCCTTGGCCAAACGGAATGAGATAGACCCATTTCTTAAACGGATGGTGACTGGAGATGAGAAATGGATCACATACGATAACCCTATGCGAAAACGATCGTGGTCAAACAGCGGTGAAGCACCTCAAACGGCCAGGAAGGTTTTGCTATGCATTTGGTGGGACTGGAACGGGATTATTTATTATGAGTTGCTTCCATATGGCCAAACGCTAAATTCTGATCTCTACTGTCAACAACTGGACCGTTTGAAGATAGCGATTGACCAGAAAAGGCCAGAATTGGCCAACAGGAGAGGTGTCGTGTTCCACCAAGACAACGCTAGGCCACACACATCTACAGTGACTCGCCAGAAACTTCGGGAGCTTGGTTGGGAAGTTTTAATGCATCCGCCATACAGTCCGGACTTGGCACCAAGCGATTATCATCTTTTTCTTGCATTGCAAAATTTCTTTAATGATAAAAAATTGGAATCTCGGGAGGATTGTGAAAATCGACTACTAGAGTTTTTTGCAAATAGAGACCAGGACTTCTATGGGAGAGGCATTTTGAAGTTACCTTTAAAATGGCAACAAATCATACAACAAAACGGTGCATATTTGACCCAAATCGGACAATCCGAAGCGTGTTAAACAAAGTCCTGAAGTTCATAAAAAAATAATGGATTTCTTTTTCCCGAAACTAATATAAGAGGGGTCTTTTTTTACCATTCATCATTTACTTGTGATGTTTAAACTGAAAAACATGTCAGTAGATAAAGTGCATTTACGACACTATATTTTGTATGAATCGCAAAAAGAAAGCAACGCATCGGTTGCACGCAAAAATAATCCACATTTAACAAGTCGAGAAATTGCAAAAGAGTTAGGCTTTCATCATACAACTTTTGGAGATCACATCAAGTCTCTTGGGTCTGTGTTAAAGTAAAGTGTTTGGGTTCCACATGAATTAACGGAAAAGAATTTGTCTTTAAGAGAATATTTAGTCAAAAAAAAAACTTTATGCAAACCAGGAACATCATCAGCAACATTTCCAAAACTAAGTATCCATCAACGAAAATTACTGCTTTGTGTGTGGTGGGACAGGAAAGGTCCCGTGTACTACGAGTTGCCGAAACATGGAAAAACCATTCACACGGATCTGTACTGCAATCGACTCGACCGCATACTGCAATGGTGACACAACAAAAACTGAATAAGTTAGGATAGAAAGTCCTTAGTCACTCACCGTATTCACCTGACATTGCACCATCTCATTACTACCTGTTCAGAACTCTGCAAAATTATCTAACGGGAAAAAAAGTCAAGTCTTTTGAAAGTGTTTCCAAGGTAGTTGCTGACTATTTTAACTCCAAGGACGAGAACTTCTGCAAAACAAGAACTCACAGGTTACCTGAAAGATGGCAACAGGTTGTACCAAATAAAGGAACATATATAATTGATTAATATTAAACGCGTATTTTTATATATGAATTCAAATATTTTCTTTAAGATACGACAGAATTTTCCGTCCAACCTAATAGTTTCTTATCATTTTGAACGTAATACGCCAGATGTATTTTTGATTTTGTTTTTAAAATGTTTTCCTTACTGCGAAATGCCCTGGCTATGGGCAAGTTTGGTATTCTTCTATTAACTCGTACCTTTCTTTATCATCCCGTATTATTTGTCTTTCTTCATATAATAATATATTTATGCGGTTTCGCTTAATATTTTGGAATTTTTTTTTTAATATCTCTTTGGATATGTGTTTAAATATAGTTTTAGTTTTGATATAAATTTTTCCAAGAGCGCATCCAAATGGTCTGGATGTTTGTTGCATCTCACACGTGTGCAGTTTAATTCTTTACCATTTTCAATTATAATATCTTTTATACCGCTTGCAAATTTAGATTCTAACTTTCTTGTCTTCTTAATGTCGTTTACCACTTATTTAATTGTTCATTGTTTGTGTTTTCTTTTGCTTCTGGTTACGACTAACGCCTTTTTTATTCACTTTTGGTCTTCTTCTTTGGATATTGGAATCATTTGTTTTAACATATCAGAATTTATGTTTATCCTCGATAAAGCGTCAGCGTTAGTGTTGCTTGAACCTTTTTTATAAATTATGTCGAAATCGTAGTTCGATAATTCTATTCTTATTCTGGTTAATTTTGAGGTGGGGTTTTTGTGGAACAATAGTGATACTAATCTGTGACCAGTTATCACTGTGAATTTTTTGCCCAATAAGTAGAGTCTGAAATGTGTTATTCTAAAGTGGATTGCGAGTTTTTTTTCTATAATTAGTTTGTTTTTTTCATGTTTGTTTAGGGATTTTCTTGCGTATGCGATAGGTAAGTCTTGACCTATTTCTCTTGGGGATAGTACTGCTCCTAAGGCGTAATTTGATGTATCAGTTGGTTGGATGGTTTATCGAAGTTTGGCTATTGTAATATGGGTGGGGACATTAGTTTGTTTTTGAGTCCTAGGAACGCCTGATTACGTAGGTTTGTCCATTCGAAGTCTTTACCTTTTTTCATGGGGATCCTTTAGTGGTTGTGCTACGTTAGCAAAGCCTTTTATAAATTTTCTGTAATAGTTGAAGAATGCTACAAATTTTCTTACTTCGTCTGTATTTTTGGATTGTGGCTAGCTTTTCATTGTTTCGTATTTAGAGGGGTCTCGTTTTATGCGGTCGGGTGTTATTAGATGTCCTAGATAGGTTACTTTTCGTTAAAGGAAGTTGCATTTGGATGGATTTAGTTTTAGGTTCTATTTCTTACGTCGTGCGAGTACTTTCGTTAGGTTTCTGTTGCGATGCTCAAAGCTACATCCGTGTATTATTATTTCGTCTACGTATAAAAATGCTTTGGTGTCTAGTTCTAATAAAGCTATGGTTAGCATTCTTTGAAAACTGTGGGATGAAATTTTTAGTCTGAATGGAAGTCTCGTGTACTGATAATGTCCGTTTGGTGTTGAAAAGACGGTTGAGGGCCGCGAGTTTTTGTTAAGTTTTATTTGGTGAAATGAGTTTGTCATGCCCAAAGTGGAGAGGTATTTTGCTTGTCCTAGCCTGTTTAGGATGTTTTCTAATTTTGTGAGGGGGAAATTGTCGTTTATTATTTTCTCACTTAATTTTCTGTAGTCAACTACTAGTTGCCATTTCTTTATGTCTGTCTGATTTTGTTGGGTACTAGTAAGAGTGGTGAGTTATAGGGGCTAGCTGAGGGTTCTATAATGTTTTGTTGTAATAATTCTTTTAACTGGGTATGTATCGTGTCAGTTTGTGTGTGAGGTAATTTATAGTTCTTTATGTACACAGATGTATTGTTGTTTGTTTCTACGTTTTATGTGTAAAAATTATTTGCTGTGAGTAGTTCATTTTCTAGATGGAATACTTTTTGATATTTTTTAAAAATTTTTATGAGATCTTGTTTTTGAGGACTGTTCACGGTGTCTAATTTAACGGATTGTAATTTTTGCTGGAGTCGTTGTTCATTATGTTGAGTGTGTATGTTGGTGTTTTGCATGATTAGGTAGGTGTTGAGTGGTTCGGTGTTGATATGTAGGTAATGTATTGTAATTTCTTTATCTAGTGTATTTAATATTTCAATGTGTTTTGTCCGTTTTTCGATTTTATTGAATTGGCTAAAAATATTCCTTTTTCTATTTCTTCATTTAGTACTAAAGCATCGCAGTCTATTTTGATATCTATGGGGATTATAACTTCGCACCTTGCAGGGAGAAATATGTTGCTTTTGTTAAGTAGGTGAACTTTGTTATCATTTGTATTAATAGCAAGAGAGAGATTTTCAAAATTTATGTTACATGCATACTTGTGTAGGAAATCTCTTCCTATGATTCCATCGGCTTTTATTGGGAAGTTCTGGTCTACTAATTGTATTTTATGTTGAGTGTTTCCCTTTCCTAAACTTATATTTAAATGTCTATTACCCAATGTTTCTATGCATTCGTTGGGTTAGGTTATTATATTCTTAGTTGTTTAGTGGGTAGTGTTCCAAAAGGTGTGCTTTGCGGAGGCTGTTGTCTGCTCCTGTCTCTAATAGAAATGATATTTCTGGTTTTGTTGTATTTTGGATATTTAGTAGTATATAGTTGGATAATTTTGAGAGGGAAAAAAGATGGGAGTTTGCTTGGTTTAGGTGTTCAGTGGATGCCTGGTTTAAGTGTTCTGTCCCTAATTCAGGGGCATCATCAAGGAATCCGGGTGAAATCCGTGTCCCTAGTTTTTTATTGCGTGTATGTGGTTGTTTTGGTTGCTGTTTCTCCGAATTCAGTTGTTGTTATTATTTTGATTTCGATAGTTGCAATTCCTGTTATTGTTGTTGTAGTTATTGGTATTGTTAATGTTTCTATTAAAATTGTTGTTGTAATAATTCCGGTTATGATTATTGTATTTTTGATTGTTTCTATTGGGGCTATTGTGTTACTAGTGTTTGTTGATTGGTTAGTATAGGAGTTTTTGTTGTTGTTGTGGCGATTGTATGAACTTTTCTTTTGGTAATTTATTTTCATTACCTGTGAATTTGTTTGGGTCGCACTTTCATATTGTAGCGTAATATTAATTGCTTCGGAGAAGGTTTTTATTTGGGCCGCGAAGACAGTGGCTTTTATGTAGTCATCGAGTCCGTTTTTGAATATGGTTAAGGCGTACGTATCGTCGATATTGGTAATGACCGTTTTTTTGTTCGTTAGTGGGGTTGTCGCCGAGTTTTGTGATTTGAATTTAATTTAGATCTGCTATTATGTTTAATATTGTGCCTTTGAAACCTGTGATCGTACCTTTTTGCGTTGTTTGGTTTAATATTGAATGTAGTTGTTGTATTTATATTTGTTTTCAAGTTTGTTTTTTAATTCTTCTAGGCGGTTTGAACATTTTAGGACAGTTTGGAGTAGAAGTTGTATTCTACCAATTACAGTTTGCCTTCTTATTTTAAGGTTTTATGTATTATTTCAACAACTTTTATGAAGCAGTTGATATCTTTGTAATTGCTTGTAAGTGTGGATATAGACTTGGAAGCTATTTCTAGGTTGAAATCTATTTTTGGTTGTATTATACTTTCTATTTTGCTGGGGTTTATGTCTTCTTTAACTGCTTCAATTTCTAATAATTCCTATGGTGTTTTATTTCTTCTTAAATGTTTTTATCTTATTTAATAATTCTGGGTGTTCTGCTCTTGTATTAGTTGCTAATATAGTATATTTATTGTTCTATGATTATGTAATTCTTGTAACTTGTTTTCGATTGTTTCTTTTTTATAGGTTCTGTCGTCTAGCGTTTTAGGATTAGAAATTATCCTATCTATAAAAATGTTAATTTTATTTATCCTTTCTATTAAAAGGAATAAAGATTTTTTTTTTTTTTGAATTCATATATTTAAGTTTTCAATATTCCTCATTTATTCTTCAATATTCTTTGTATATTTTTTCTTTATTTTAATATTCCTTATATATTCTTCATATTTCTTCCTTATTATTATTACCACGACCATTGACTTGCTAGTCGAGATTAATCATTTTATACTAGCTTACCTGCAACTTCTTTAGAGATATACTTTTTGAAATTTTTGTATGTCTTATATGCTATGTATATAATTATTAGCATTATTATAATGTAAATAAAGTTATCCTTCATATAACTTGTCGAGATTTTTGATGTCCAATATTTTCGAAAATCTGCCTAATTGTTTCTATGGTACTGATGGATTGTAAATAGTTGTCCCAAAAGTGGCAAATTACTGCAGGATAGTGTTGGGCAGGATCGTGTTGGTCAGGATCGCCATGTAATTATGATTTTATTTGTTTTCAAATTGTAGATGAATGAATGTTTATTTAGTGTTGGAAAGATTCTTTGTAAATCTTTCTTCATATGTGATCAGAGTGTGTCGTAAAATACTTTCCTATACTGCTCGGCTTCAGTCCGCCAAGTTAATCTATTTCTTTTGGTGCCAATACTAAGATCGGCAAGAAGCAGTCCCTATCTAACATATTTATACTAAATTTTACAAATAATAATTGTTACGGTTTATTATAATTAGGGCGCCTAGCGTCGTATTGCATTACGAAATGCAATTTTCAGCCAGTTGAAGTGTGACATAATCTTCGTATTTCTTTTTGCAAAAGAATTATGCTGATTTTGCATAATTCTGTCGCACTTCAAAGTGGATGCATAACAACGATATGCGATCACACTACAATATATACACATATACAATCTACATGTACAGTACAAACATGTTTACTTCAGTCATAAATTTGCACAAATCAATTTCGAAGATAGAAAACTTTGTACACACACACACAAGTTCAGGATTTGTGGGCAAAAAATAAATATAGGTCATCTATTAATAACATTGACGTAGGTCAGTAAATCAATTTAAAAAAAAGGAAAATCCCCAAAAGAAACCACAAAAAACAATTAACTTGATACATTGTAGAGTATGTTTAATTTACAAATTGGTTTGCAACACCATCACATCAACACGCTCGGAAAACTCGACACAAACAACCATTTCGAAAGCTCGGGTCCAGAAAACTCACACGAACACCATTAGGATCGCATTTGGACACATTCAAATGAGCAGAACAACGCCTTTTTTTAACCCGAACGGAGAAAACGGCGTTATTCTAAAATTCGTTATTTGCTGGCATTGTGCAGCGCAAATATATGAAAATAGTAGCTTAGAAGGTACGCTTATTACTTACCGAAATCGTTTTGAATCGAAAGTTTTCCATCAAGCGGTTGAATCCGTGTTGCATCTTTAAGTGTCGATTTAACATTTTTTTCTGTTTTTTTTTAAACAGCAGTTGCAGTGCTGTGATTACACACTTTCTGATTTTAGTATTTGATGAATGAAGTGTATCTTTCCAAAAATCTACTAATTTATACGTTTATAAATTGTAGAGAGAGCAGGAGATAGCAACCAAAATACGTGAATCATAAAAAGAAAAGTTTTTTTTAATATACGTTTTAGTTTATTTTTATTTCTTTTTTGTTAATCACTACTGCTGTATACATATTATATTCGTTGAAAATTATAAGTTCTTTAGTTGATCATCTCTTTCCCGACATCAAATTGTCTTGACGAAAGATCCTTTATCATTTGCTCATCTGTGACGTTGAATTTACACAACACGTGATCTTCAAAGTATAACGTGGCTTTTGCATCTTATCTCGCTTGCATCATCTCCGCTTTTACTAACCGTAACCGCTTCTCCTTGGGGAAGTCCTTCGTCAACATAATCTTCTTTCCGTAGGCTGGCTATTCGCCAATGTTACTCAGGAGTTTTCATTTGCATTTTTTTTAAGTATTGCTGTGAAATTCGTTTTTCTATGATAGCACTTATACCACTAGATCGTGGATATACTTTTCAAGAGAAATGCACTTCAAAATTCCTTTCTTTATAATTATATTCCTTAAGTAGGATTGTTCACAACTGATTTTTTGGCAATACTGGCGACTGCTCAACATAAATAGTTTTCTTCTACTAACTCTACCTTCCGCTAATATTCTGTTTATATGCATTTTTACAAGCATGTTACTATTACCTAAGTTCACGGCTTCATTTTTAATCCGTTACCCTGCTTTTCCGCTACTCATCGGCCGGCAGCAGCATGACGCGCCGCGAATGTGTATTTGGCTTTTCCCTGTGCACTTCATTTCGGTTTAGGGAACTTATTATACGGGGAAATTATTTAGCTGGAGTGAACAGGATTTGGGAATTCCCTAACAGTATAATTTAAATATATGTAAATGAAGATATACCTTGGATATTTGTAAGCGCTGCACCCATTTTATGCCCTACACTTAACCGCGTGAATATGATAATAGCTATTCTCTTCTATAATCAATGAAACTAAAAATATTTTCATCAAAACCACAAATTCTTGTTTTTATAAACATCCTCACAATACATTTTTTCTTATCACTTTCTTCTAAAAATAAATTTTTTTTCAAATGTATAAACCAAATTCGTATTAATGAAACCTAACCACATAAAAAAAAAAAATGTTTAAAAAATATTTTTCTTCATTCGTTTTAATTAATTCAATTTTTTTTTATTTCGTTAAAATAAAAAATTAAAATTTTTTTTTTATTTTGTGGTTTTTTTTGTATCAATTCTTCGACAGAAAAACAGCTTTCTACGCTGTAGGGTTACTGAGGTTATAAAATGGTATGCAATATACTGATATGCAGTGCACTCAGTTTATAAAATGGTTTGCAATACAATCACAACAATACGCTCGGAAGTCTCGGCACGAAAATTCATTTCGAACGTTCACCCGAACATCATTCGTTTCACATAGGGACACGTTCGCGTGGAAAGAATCCGCATCTTTTTTAACACGAATATCAAAAAAGGCGCGGTTCAGCCCCAAAACAAATTTTTGTTATGTAGGATTTTCTAAAAATAACTGTTACGGGTCATACACAACATATACGGGTAGACATACATGTGCTATCTGCTAAAGACCTTGCTTTGAAAGGAAAGTGTCTTGAACCGCAATAGCACAGCCAATCATTTATTGCCGAGAAGTTACGATCAAACTGTTTAGATGGGTTAACAACGAAATATCAAGATGAATATTTGATTTTGTTTATTTGTTGATCATTAGTTTGTTTGTTTATCAACGAAAACAAATTTTGTAAGCAAGTATTTCGGATTAAATCAAAGTAAGTCCTGCTTCATAAAAGTTTCACGGTTTTTCCGAAGTTATTGGAAATACCCAAAATTGTGGTAGACCCCGCAGGTATCAAAGACATTACTTTAAAAGGGAAGTGGTCTGACCTGCAATAGTACAGTCAATCATCCCCTGCCCGCGAAGTTACGATTAAACTGTTTTGAAGAATTGAGAACGAAGCTTCAACATGAATAGATTTACGCCATACAGCCATCAGCAAAGACGACAACAGATTAACGTTTGGGATAAGCTGAAACAATACGGTGGAGTATTTTTGGACATGACAAAACCGGAACAACAATATAAGGCCGCTCGAGCGCTTTGCAGTTTTCTAAGCACTACTAATGCTCCCAGCACTAAAGAGTTGAGCACAAGTGGTGTCATATCAACGATGGTACAGTGTTTAACAAGAACAAGATGTGCGGTATTACAATTACAGCTTTTAAGTGCCTTGTATGTAATTTCTACGTTGACGGAAGAACACAGATTATTGATCCGACAGGCCAGACTGGTACCACAACTGGTGGCTATGTTAAATCTTAAAGAATGTAAAGTTTGTGAAATGGTAGCGAGGTTATTGTACAGTCTAGTCAAAGATAACTCTTCTGAATGTGATGCAATATGTACTCTTGGAGGTACCGCACCGTTGCTGGCTATGATGGCTAGCCCTGCGATTACATTGCGAAAAGCAGCGCTCAATGTCATACAAAAATTATCACTTGGTTCGCAGTATCGTGTAAATATGCTTTTCGCGCAAAATATAATATCACTTATGAAACCGCTGCTGGCACAAGTGGATGGTGATACCGATGTGCTCATTCAAACACTTATCCTTTTGTGTTATATCATACAAGAAGGAAATCATGGACATAAGCGCGAAATCTTGGAAGCAGACATTTTGCCTTTGCTAATCGGTGTTTTGCGTAGTGATTGTCCGAACGTAAGGAGGGTGGCCGCTGATACCATTTACGAATTCCTTGTCGAAGCCGATCCGAAACTGGACTCTTCAAGGAAGAGCATTCAGAAAATTTTGTCAATTCTCTGTGATTATGTACGCATGGAAGAATTGTGGGTTCTTCAAATCATATACGACATACTTGTATTTCTTAAGGGATCTGCCATCGAATTGATTTATACTTTCAATGATAGCGACTCCTTAAGAAAAATCGAAGAAATGACAACTAATTCAAACCCGCAACTCTCTTTGCTAGCAGCAGATATTGCTGGATTTTGTCATTCGAATCAAATTATAAGCTTTTAATTATTTTAAATTGTTTGTACATAAAGTATAAGTTTTGTTGTGTATTTGTTGACGGGGTTATATAATAACTATTTATTTGTATAGAAATTTCAGTGCGGTTTTTCTTTTAAATTTTACAATCATGTGTTATTGCTAAGAAGACCCTTGTTCGGTGTTCATTCATTTTTTTTCTGGTCCAGTTTTCAGGTTTATTTTAATAGGCTAACTAAAGTAGCTAGGGTGACAAGCCTCTTATCCTGTTTTTGCTTTATGTGACCACACTTTTAGGATACAAATTTATTTGCAAAGCTTAGCTGACATATGGAGCTCCTTGATCACTTTGACGAAGGTCGATTATTACTTATAGTATTACCCTCCCCGGAGGAATGTCAGTTTATACTTGGGAGCTCATTCTTAGTAAAATTAATCAAAGGAATTATATACACGAATGTCCTGAATCTCTTAGTTTATAAAGCTCTGCCTAGAAGCAACTATAAATTATTCACCTCACTTAGGGTTTTGAGCAAGATTGTAAACTGTGCATAACCTCACACTCATATTGTTCACAGCTTAATTGATGTATCTGATTTAATGCTAAGTGTAAAGTCAGCCTTTCTAGAGTCTTGTTCACTGCCTTATCTAGATGATAATAATTAATAGAAATAGAGTTAGCGTGCCCACAAGTACAAAGAGATAGGATGGTGATGAAGTATTTGTTTTAGTTGTAAACAACCGTGGACAACATACATACAAATCGCAGGCCTATATTCCCCGCTTAACGCTTCATTTTATGTTCACTTTGTCTAATCTGCGTATACGTAATGCAGTTTGGTCTTGTTAGGCGTATTGTTAGCGATATCAATGACACCAATAAATGAGTTAATGGTAGTACCATTCGGGTCAAAGGTGCTAAAGTCAACGATCTGAGATCGATACATATCTTGTCGTTAAGTAGCATGTGGTGGTTTCCCACTTGCTCGCACATTTATCCCGTTTCCGTTCACCTCTACAATGGCCCTCGCGTTGGATGTTTCCACCAAACTTTCCTCAAATCCCACAATGAACTCTTGCGCTTTGGAATCTCCGCCGTTCTCCTTTCTTAATACTATCTTTCTTCAATGTGCTCCTTTACCTATGTTGGTTACTGATTACTCCTCATTATAAGTCTGATATTACATCTTTTCTCTTTATAGTATCGTCAAACGCTGTGATAGTTGTTGATAGTTGTCACAGCTGTCCATATGGACAATCGGTTTCTCATATCACAGCCACTCCGACTTAGTTGTGTCGAACTCTCGAAAATCAATCTTGATATCCTGTTCCTTGTAACTCTGCGTCGTCGAATTTAATTTACACCAACAAAGACCCACCCGTCGACATTTGCCTCTTCAAGAAACTGTTAGCTTCTTTTTCTATCTTCTATCAATATGTCGGAAGTTTGAACAAATAACTCCATAATCTTTACATTAATAGCTCTGTTTGCGAGCAATCACCTTCTCAGAAGTGTGGCTGAACGCGAATATTTTTCATGCGGAAGTATTTTACAGTGACAACCAAATTTATGCAGAAATGAATGATTTTTAAGTAGTGCGTTACTTGCTGTAGAGTCATGTCTTTCTTTCCATGTTCCTTTAATTTGTATGTGTTCCTAATCTGCAGTCGTATCTTGTGTAAGCACCATCACTTGTTTACCAGGCCGCGCGATATTGAAAGAAATTAGTTCCCGTCATTCACAAAAACCAAGCTGTCACTTATTCTACGGTAGTCTTTCATCTCAAGAACGGCATGAATAGAGCAAAATGTAACTTTCTGGCTTGTGCCTAGTAAGTAAGCGCCTTTGTACATTCGAAATTAGAAAATGCCGAGTCAATAAGAACAAAGCTATAAATGTACTAAGGTGTCTTTCCACAACAGCCAAATTCCAAATGGACGCATGAACGATCTCAAAGGAGACAAACTGTTATTGAAGGCGGAATTGATCTGTTTCGTGGAACATGAACTCTGCTAAGTAAAACATATAATCCAATAAAACTTCCACCACTTAGTGTACAAACAGAATCAACTAATGTGTGGAAATTTCAGATCCTCTAAGGATATCGGAGACAGTGACCTACAGAGTTCAAGCATGAACGTGTTATTTACATAATCATATACTCCGGTTCTAATTGCCGTGAAAAAGAATTTTGGGAAAATTTAATTCGGACCACAAACAGCTACTAAAAGGTTGGAACTACAAGGTGTTACTAAGTAATGACGCAATCAAAATATTGTACTTCTAGACGACTTTAACGTCTGCCGCAGACAGGCGAATAATGCAACCGCAAGGATGCTGAAGAATAACAATTTCTTCTCTTGTTTAGATAGGAATGCAGCGATAACTTTGGAGCAGACCTACAGCGATAAGGAATTTTGATATGTAAACAATTTGGAGGGGCACTGTCGTGGCCACAACTATTATTTTGTATTAAAGTAACGCTTGTCTTCATTTTTTATTCCTTTAAAACTGACCGTTGAATAATATTAACTAGATCTCTTAACAGCTGACACAACATTCATTGCTTATTTGACCTTCGCATATAACAATGTGCATGTGTAGTTCTACAAAATTATTATATAGTTCTTCTCTATTTTCAGGACATAAAAAATTGTTAAACTCCACGTAGATTAGAAAAGCTCTTTTAGTACTGTTGGATACCGTGAATGTCTCAACAATGTAATCGTGGTTTTCTTCGATGTCCAAATTCTATTTGTTTTAGAGAAAGGTTCTTCTCTGTTGCTTATCGACTCTCTGTTTTTTGCGATAGCATAATCTGATAGCATATCTTATGTTACTATTTATTCATTTATTATGCCCATCATCTTAAGATGGGGATATATTCATTTTGGTTTGTTCCATAATACATGTAACACACAAAAGGAAGCTACAGTGACCCTACAAAATTCTTGATCAGCCTGAGTTGATTTAGCCATGTCCGCCCGTCTGTATGCCTATGTATCTATGTGGTGTGCTTTGTAAACGCTCTCCTGGCCACAAAAATGAATTTATCGACTTCAACTTTGGTGGAAGCATTAGAAGTTTTTGCACACAGGAGTACAAGGCTGCTCTGTAGCGTAAACTGAACGCAACTCCATGATTTTTAACAAAAATTATTGAATTTTTGCTCGGTTCTCATGAATTATAAAAGACAGAATACTTAAAATTTCCCCATTTTGTTTACGAAACACCCTACTCTTTACGTGAAAAGATGGAAAAAGTAGCAAATGTCCACACAAAGTTACAAATGATTAAATCTTTTTTTTTTCACTTTTTTAAGGTTTTCTGGTTATTTATCATAAGGCAAACAAAACCGAACGTTTAAAAATATTTTGCACACTTCTCAAATGAAGATATATTATCCGCCTTAAAATGGGTTCACTTTCAAATGAATATGGTAGGCACCGCGATTAACTTTTTCTTAATAATATCAGCGACGTGGATATCAAAATAAAAGAACCTGGAGAGTAAAATGCCAACAGCAAATTGCTGGGTATACGAGTTTCGGCGACCGCCGAATACATCTTTCTTACTTGCTTGTTTCTTTTCGGGTAGTACCACTTACGAACTGCCCGATTTGGTCCTTCCTGCCCAAGATGCGAGATTCCTTTCTGGCCGTGAGTCTTATCGTTATATGATTCATTAGAAAAACGAAAACGATTAATTTTGACTGCAATTATGCAAACATTTTCTGTTTAATTGAAACTAGGGTGAAAAGAAGTTTGGAAGTGCAATGTGGAAAATTAAAATATTTAAGTTCAAATGCCCAATGAGCATCATGCGCTCAACTGGTTCAATTAGGCTTACTAAAGTTGATTTCGAAATGTATGCACACCCTCTTGCGAAAATCGCCACAAACTCTTTCGGCGGTTTAAAATGTATATAACAGAATACGTGCTTGTAGTTTGTATAATTGCTTGCAAGATGTTGCCAGTTTATGCAAACGTCTGACTTTTGAAACATATATGATGTGTGCAACAATTAAACAAATAAACACCGTGTACCTTTCTTGTTTTTTAAGGTCTCCCGACTTTCTAAAATTTCTATTATGTCAGATGTGTCGCCCATTCATCAAGAGGAAATATATTCATTTCTGAGATCTTTCAAGTTGGAGAACGTATCGATAAGCATATGTGTACACATCCACATATTCGCATTTCTCTTAGTTAATGTATCAGTCAGAAATCTTTTATTGGATCGTGATGAAAACACAACAGCCCTATAGAGAAATCACATAGATTGTATTAGATTTGTCCAAAAGCGACCAGTGGCACACGCTACAATAGGTAACAATGTATTCGTATGTGGGCATATTCTAGTGGAATTGTGTTAACGTGAAGTAGAAATTAAAGTTTGGCTTTGAGAAGATGGATAGAAGTAGGGATGCAATGAACCCATCATCAACACACATAAACCCATAAGGACGAATGGACATATTGTAGTGTGATCGCATACCATCGTATGCATCCACTTGAAGTGTGACAAAATTATGCCACTTCAGCATAACCCTTTTGATAAAATAAAATGGCACACTTCACTTCGCATGTAAACAGTGATAATTCTGTTTATATAAGAATAATGTAGTGTGTGATAAGGATAATTTAGTAAGCAATTACAATCCTGTTTAGAATAAGATAAGAATAGTTTAGTGTAAAAATTTAGTATAAACAGTGCGTAAGAAAATAAAGAAAATCAGTTCTCATCAGAGTTCTCATAAAGCAACTCAACCAAGCGTTTTACTCGCTAAGAACACAAGGCGTTCAATCCGCCTGAACCATTAAGATTAGTGACCGTCTTATGCCGAGATACTTTGGCATTATAAAAGACGGATAGACTTGGCGTACTGCAGCCGAGCAGCAAAGGGCTAAACGGCTAAACTACATTCACTAACACTTTGGCAAGGATTCATAGAGAATCTTCCCGTAAACATAAATATTAAAACGCTGCCAATATCAAACATTATTACAATATAATAGAAAACATGCAA